AAAAAGTCATATAAATTAAATTTCAGGGGAAAAAGCAAAACAAAGTATTAACCAGAACATACGACAAACTTGCTAGATGGTTTTATTTCCAGTATAATATTATTTCTAACATTATAATTAATTTCCCTTTTGGTGAAATAACCAATCTTTAACATAATGGGAAAGATAGTTGTCTAAAAGGTTTCTGGGCATGACGCCAGCATCCACCCAGTTGCTCAAAACCCAAAAATCTTGGAGTCATCCTTGGGAATGTTCTGTTTCCAAACCCAAACTATTCAAAGTCCCACAAATTCTGATTCAGATACATTTCAAATCCATCCATCTCTCAGGTTGCTAGCACCTTCTCAGGCCACCACTATCTCACCTCAGCTCCTAAAACTGCCAGCTTGCACTTTCACCCAGCAGTCCATTCCTTACACAGCAGCTCAAATGATGATATCATTTAGAATTAAAATACCAGCTTCCTACCAAACCCTTCAAAGCCCTGCATATTTCTTTTTTTTTTTTAAGATTTTATTTATTTATTTGATAGACAGAGACAGCAAGAGAGGGAACACAAGCAGGGGGAGTGGGAGAGGGAGAAGCAGGCTTCCCACTGAACAGGGAGCCTGATTCAGGGCTTGATCCTGGGATCGTGACTGGAGCCGAAGGCAGACACTTAATGACTGAGCCACCCAGGCAGCCCAAAGCCCTGCGTATTTCTGTAACCTCTTCTTACCCATCTCTGCCTCTCTCACTAAGTCAGCCACACTGGGGTTTTTTCTGTTCCTCAAACTCACCAAACTTTCCTGCTCCAAAGTCTTTGTACCCACTATTCCTTCTTTCCCTCTATCGCCTCCAGCTTTATTAAGGTGTTATTGACATATAACATGTGTAAGTTTTAAGGTATACAATGTGATGATTGGATCTATGCATATATTACAAAATGACTACCCCAATAAGGTTAATTAACATCTCCATCTCTTCATGTAATTATAATTGTGTGTGTGTGAACGTGGTGATAACATTTAAGATCTACTCTCTTAACAAATTTTAAGTACATAATACAGTATTGTTAATTATAGTCACCAAGTTGTGCATCAGATCCCCAGATCTTATTTATCTTACAGCTGAAAGTTTGTACCATTTAACCAGCATCTCCCCATTTCCCCTACTCCTCAGCTTCCCCTACTCCTCAGCTCCACCATTCGACTCTATTTCTAGGAGTTGGGCTTTTTGAGATTTCACATATGAGTAAGAACATATAGTATTTGTCTTTCTCTGACTTATTTCACTCCACTATTCCTTCTAATGAGAATGCTTTCCCCACCAAAAATACCATACACACACACACACACACCACCTACTCTTGAAATAGCTCCTTCTCATATATAGGTTCATCTTAAATATCAACTCCTTTTGTGACCACCCTATCTAAAGTAGCTCCTACCTCATTATCTCCAAATTATTTGTTTTTTTGCTTTCCTTCAAAAAAGTTTATTATAATTCATAATTATTTTGTCAGTTTATTTTTAAACCTGTCCCCCCACTTTAAAATACAGCTATAAGGATGGAATATCCAGTTCATTCATCATCATATCCCCAGAAGCAGCAAACTGTCTGATATGTAATAGAAGTCTATCACTGTACAGCAAACAAATGAATGAAATAGTAAATGAATATATGACTGTACTAAACAAATGCTATTTATGGAAATACAGAAACTAGAGGAGGAGTGACTGAGAAGAAAATAAGATATATTCAGTTTGGTGCCATGTGGTTGAAAATACAGGACTAGTGGACACACAGGCTGGAAAGGGTTATGGATTGGAATTCTGCTGAATGTAAATGCTAGTTGAAAAAAAACAATAATTACATCGCAAATGAGATAGAATTCAGCAGGATAAATGACAAGCAAAAATATATAAAACTAATAGGAAATGATTGTGTAGGTAAAATAATCTAACATAAACACTACAAAATCAAGAGAAGTCAAAACTGTTTCACAGTTTCAGTTTTTAGTAATTCACTAAGAAGAGTAAAGTAATCCTACCTTACTACTATTCATTGCTGGTCATATCTCAGCTAAAGTAGCAGGTCCATGTTGAAGGATTACACATTGGGGATGAGGAAGACACTTGAGAAAATGTGCAGTAAAGTCTCACGGGAATGACCACAGGTCTGGCCAGAAAACATGAGCTGCAAGAAGAAATTCAAGGAGTCAGAAACGTTAACGGCAGAGAAAAAGTGAAAATGTGCACATGGAGTATAGCAGGCTACTATTGGAAATTAACTGTGACAGTGTCTCAGAGTCACCACATGAAAAATAAGAATGCTATATTTACCTAACTTTTCCACCCCCTGCTTACGCCCTCCCATTTCTTTCCACAACTTTCTCGATGTGTAACGCATCTTACCTTCTCCCCTAATCTATTCCGTTTTGAATAGGTAATTCATGTTTTTCTCCATTTTCATAGCATAAAAATCATTTTGAGTTTGAAGCATATCAAAAGAAGCAAGTGCATTTGTTAAAATATTATTACAGCCTAAAGAAGTAATTAACTATGTAAGAAAAACTGAGCTCAAAGGCTGGTAAGGTTTGGGAAAGATTCTCCCAGCATATATGCATTTTCTTTAATACACCTTAGCATGCCAAAGCCTGACTCCTCTGTCAGCTGTTCTCTCAATTCTTGTCACTAGGAGAATTTCTAAGGTGCTTCTTGGTCACTGGCTCTCTTCTTAATCACTGATGTCAATATATGTCGTTTACAGTTCTGTCACCAGGCCTCATTTTCTGCCTCAGGCCCTTGTATGTCTAATCCCGACTTCTTGGTTATAAGAATGTTTGCTTATTCTGTTTCCTGTCATTTCCCCCACTTCACTGACTTTCACAATAATCAGAGGACATTTCATGGGGGTTACCAATAAGATTACTCCTTCCCTCTGGTCAGGAAATTGGCCAAAGTATGTAAGGAATATCTTCCAAGTCTCCCACTCTTCTAAGCTTTTTACTCATTTCCAAAAAGATTCCTTCTTGGCCCCCCAGATAAGTATATGCTCTCCTGTAGATTTGGCAAGGTTCCCAAAGCTAGAACTGGTTGGAAATCTAATCTACATATAATGAGAGTATTATTACATCCCTCTTCTTCCATTAAACTGTGACATGATTGAGAACAGGGATTATCATCTTACTATAGCCAGCATCCTACACAATCCCTGGAACATTGTAGCCACCAAACAAGTGAGTACCAAATGAACGAATTTCCAAGGTAAATTATGGCTTTCCCTGACTTGTACACTTCGGTGTAAAGTAGGACTTTAACAAGAGTTTTTACATTAAATGGTAAAATTCATGACTTTAAATGATACTTAAATATGAAAATTTTAATCATGCTGCTGTCAATAGCTTATCTTCAGTTAAGCCCCTTAGATATAATACAGTAAACAGTGTTACTTATAAAGATTTCCAAAGAACTAAATGTATGAGTGTGTACAAAAATGTACATATTATGTATGTTAGCGAATTCCACTCCAGGAACAGACCCCAAAATTACTGAACTATCCATTTAACTTGAAATGTTTTAGCCACTTCTCTATCAGCAAGCTCAGCTGAGAATACCTAGAATTTCACATTCTGGTGTTTCACTGTGATAGAGAAACAGTTATTTTCAAAGACCTAAGAACAAGAAAGGTAACTATTCAACTAAGATTCCATGCCCAACACTGAGCAGTGCAGTGCCAAGTGTCTTGCTCAAGGAAGCTAGTCAAAGCACCCATCTGTTATTTATGTGTCACTCTCCAACACAACGTGTTTCTATAATTTTTATTTTTCAATGAAAAAACCCTATCTTCCATATGATACTGAAATAGTTTGGGTTAAAAATAAGTAACAACTACCTTGGTGGCATTTCTAAATGGAACATTTCTTTCATCAAACTAATATAAACCATTGAATAAAAACTATATTCCTTATGTTACCTCAAAGATACAATCATTCTCATCAGAACTCAGCAAAGATTCCTAGAGACAAGTTGAAAATGCGTAGTAACTACTTTCTAGTGCAACTTAATCTTCCCCACCAACTTCCCCAACCACATAGGCTACCATCTTTAACTCACAATCATAGTAAAAATATAGTTCCTATTCCTTAACTATGCTTCTCTTCATGAGGTAAGAGGGGTGCCTAGGGTGCAAAATTTATGGAGACATTCACTCTCAGGGTCATACCCTGTAGCTGCATGACCCTGAAAGCCAGTCTTATGTGTGTTAGGCATCTCCCTTGCCTCTCATGCTCATGGTGCATACTTCTCTTTCTCACTTCGACCCCTCCTACTTCTCTAAATAACACCCAATTGTGATTAACCAAAATTTAATTCTGGTAAGCCAAATATCTAAAACGAAGCAGTAAATTTAAATATAATTTTACATCCATTTAAAATCATGTTTTCACAAAAAATTTCTTGTTCGTGATGTGATTTTGGATGAAAAATAGATGAGGCAGTAATGCCTCACGGATTCAAAATAAGAATTCCTGAAATAGGTTCCTGAAATAAGCACAAAGTTCCTAGAATAGGTATATAACCCAGGCCTGGACAATCAGCATATTTCCTTCCCCAAGCAGTAGTTCAGGAATGGGTATGTGATCCAATTGGACAACTAAAACTCAATCCCAAAATTTTTGCCAGAACTCATTAGGAAGTTCTCTTTTGGCTGAGGTTGCTAAACTGAAAGAACATGGTAGATACCAACTTGTCAGAGAGCCAACCCAGAGAAAACAAAAGCCAAGAGATGGAAAGAGAAATGAAAACTCTGAAAGTATTTTGTCCCCAGAGCTAATCACACCTGAGTTCAGGTGAATTCAGGTGTGAATAGATATAACTGCTAGAATTTTAGAATTGCTGTTGAGAAACAATTCTCTCTGGATTTCCCATGTTCCTGCACAATCAGAGGCTTCTGAGCAAAAGGTACTATAAGAATAATTGCATAATATCCAGCCTTGGAAGCTAGAGAATGTGTCTCCCTAAAGATAGAGACCTCCGATGAGCTTTGGCGAAATAAAAGCCCTCTCCCTACCTCCCCTGGAAGATATTTACCTATATTCCTTTTTTTCTCATATTTCTTATGTTACTTTACATATTTTTTCTGATATTTACTTGTATTCTAGGGCACTAAACCTAAAGACACTTTCCCATCCTCCTCTGGAGAGATTTGCTTAATGAATAATCTCTCTCCCTCCGGAGGGTAATTTCAGTCCCACAACTGTTTCAAACTTAATAGTTACATGTGGCAATAAATTACTTTTTTAAATTAATTCATTCAACAAATATTTGCTGAGAGCCTACTAAGCTATGTACCATGCACTTTCATACAAAACATCTCAGACAAAAATTCCTCCCTCATGGAGATTGTATTCTACAGAGGAAACAAAACACAAAGTAAATACATAAAATATATAGTATAAAGTCCTGATAAGTGTTACAAAGAAAAAGCAGGAAGAAGGCCTGGGTCCATTGGTTAAGTGTCCCACCCTTGGTTTTGGCTCAGATCATGATCTCAGAGTCCTGAGAGAGAGCCCCGCACGTCAGGCTCCATGCTCAGTGCAGAGTCTGCTTGAGACTCTCTCTCTCTCTGCCCCTACCCCCCACACTCTTTCTCTTTCTCTCTCTAAAATAAATGAATAAATCTGAAAAAAAAAAGAAAATGGCATCCAAGATGGCAGAGGAGTAGGAGACCTTAGTTTTGTCTGGTCCCAGGAATTCAACTAGATCTATCAAGTCATTCTGCAGTCAAATGCTCTACCACTGAGCTATATCCCCTATCAAGTCATTCTGAACATCTGCAAACTCAACCAGAGATAAAAGAATAGTTACAACTCTACAATTAGAAAAGCGACCACTTTCTGCAAAGTAGGAGGTGCAGAGAAGTGAATCTGAGGCAATATATGGGAAGATAAACGGGGGTGGGAGCCTCCCTAAGCTGGCTACCAGAAAGTGATACAGCAGCAGAGCACAAAATCAGAACTTTTAGAAGTCGGCTGCGGTGAGGGATGTCCCTGCCTGAAAGGTGCTCAGGTGGTGAAGTGGGGCAGAATCCTAAGTGGGACAGTGTGGTTTCAGGACCCTCGGGGTCACAGGGAGACCAGGAGTACATGAGTGCAGCAGAGCTCCCAGGCATCAGAGCAGGGAAGCTGGCTGCTATCACCGAGCCCAGGAGTGGGCTCTCAGCTCTGGGTTGCCATAAACCGAGAACCACAGTGGCACGGTCGGGTGACTGCTCTCCGAGCAGGGGCCCAGCAAGCAGCAGAACCATGGGGAGAACCCCTTCTCTCCCCCTGCAGGAGCAACACAGATGCATGCTACAGGAGTCTACAGGGTTTGAAGAATCAAAGTGGGGTCACGAGGCTGAGATAGAAATGCTGGGTCAGGGGCTGGGTGAGCATGGAGATAGGAATGATTGACTGCTTTTCCCTGAGGGCACACTGAGCAGTGGGGCCCCGAGCTCTCAGCTCTGGGGCTGGAGATTGGGAGGCCACCATTTTCATTCTCATCCTCTAAAGCTGCGCGGAAAGCCTTTAGGAAACAAAAGCCACTTAGGGCAATCCAGAGTCACTTACACTTAGCCTGGCCCCCTGGCAAGGGTGGTGCAATTCCGCCAGGGTCAAAAACACCTGAGAATCAGTGCAACAGGCCCCTCCTCCCCCAGAAGACTGGCAAGAACATATGGCTAAGACCAAGTTTACCCATCACACAGAACTGCAAAACTCCAGTGCTAGGGGAAAATAGTATTAGAATTCATGGTTTTTTTCTCATGGTTCTTTAGTCTTTCATTTTTAATTTTTTTCACTTTCTTTTTCAACCAATTTCTTATTTTATCAACTCTAAGTCTTTTTGAACTTTCATTTTTACAGTTATATTCTATCCTTTCATTGTATTTTCTTTTTTTTCTTTTTCTCTTTTTTTAAGATTTTATTTATTTACTTGACACAGAAAGAGAGAGGGAGAGAGCAAGCACAAGCAGGGGGAGCAGCAGAGGGAGAGGGAAACAGGCTCTCTGCTGAGCAGGGAGCCCTATGTGGGGCTCGATCCCAGGACCGCAGGATCATGACCCAAGCCGAAAGCAGCCGCTTAACCAACTGAGCCACCCAGGCGCCCCTAATTTTCTTTTTTTATATATATGGGTTTTTTTCCTTTACAATTTTG